TGAGCAAACTGGGGTGCACCGGCAGAGTCAGGATTTAAAAGCGCTTATAGGCGCTTATGATCGCTTATCTACCGCTTTTCCCATCACCCATGGGCACCTAAGGATTTGAAAAGCGGTTATAAGTTATAAGCGATTACAATCACTTTTTATTGCTGGTTTTTACCGATTTATCTATCATTTATCAACATGGATTTAAACATAGTTGTTTGACTGGCGATCTAGAAGCCAAGAAGGCTAAGTGCACGGCGCGGCAAAGTTCTCCGACAATAATCGTCAGAAATTGTAAAGCGCTTGCAAGCGTTTATTTATATGTTGTTAATGGTGGTGGTTGTCTTGGTGGCGGTCGATGCGCGCTGCGTCATCAGTCATACACACTTCACATTCAGAACTTGCAAAAGAAAAATATAGTATATGAAATTAAATTATTGCGCTGGGCCACGCTCAGTCTGTCAACGAGTATGACAGGCCTGTTTATGTCATTCCAAGGAATCTCTAGTCGGGCTGAGCGAATCACGACGTCTGAAAAAAGTGCGGTGCTCATTGAAAGTTAGTGTGTGCGTGACCAGCATTCACGTACTTGTTCATAATCAATCGTGGACATAAAAACAAGTGCACGCTGAGCTTACCAATAGGAAAAAAAGTAATGTATATATACGCTAGTAAAGCCTTGCGCGTGCAGGCGTGCTGAGATAGCTTGTAAAATTTGGTTATTAGATTAAGATAGTAAAACTGCAACAAATAAACCGCGCCAGATTGCGCGTTTGAATCACTCCTACGAAATCGCTCGCCCAAATTTTAAGTAAATTCTTGTGAAAAGGCCTTTGGGTATGACATTGATCTAAATCGGTGTATTTTTTGGACGCTGATCCCGAATCACCCGCCATGACGTAGGGTAAAAATATTTCCCTGGAGAGTTACATGGGCAAAAACCGTTTTAGTCACGTGACAGGCTAGTAAAACATGATTTCGATTGTTTAGGGCTCATGTTAGGGTTTGGGTTAAGGTACGCGGGTTATGGATAACTTCGGGGTTATGGTTGGGATTAGGGTTAATGTAAAATTGTTTTGTACGGCTGCAAAACCATAAAAACCAAGGTCACGTGAAATTTTTGGGCGAGCGAATTAGCAAGAGCCGGTCGCGGTTTTTATACAAAAATAAGCGTACACATGATATACAATGCAATAAAGCTAAGAGTTTCTGCATGTTCGATTATTTTGCACCTAACTTAACCATGTGCCTTCGTGCTGCCGTTGCTCTATCCAGATAGGTAGTGCGCCATCAACAGTGAGCCGCGCGTGCCGACTGTATAGTAGGATAGTTTTTTAGCGCTAATTTTGGCCAGCACAATTTTCTTCAAACAAATAGATATTGAGTATCCTTCCCGACCTCCGATTGCAACAAAAATTGGTGAGCTCACTCTGTACTCATAGACTTACAAGGAAAGTGTCCGAAATAATACGACAAAAATCAACGAATTTGGTCAAATTACGCGACTTTTACATCTACTTTTGCTCCAAAAGCCGCGCACCATCAAATATGGCACCCTTCACCTAACCATGTGCTTTCGCGCCACTTCGGGCGCGCTTGTTTCACAAGTACGTCAAGAAGTGAGTGGGCGCGCGCTACTGCAAGCGCAAGGGCTCTGGATAGAGCAAATGGCACCCAGCTAGTGAGGCGAAACTCACTGATCTTTCCAAAAAGGTATGACAAATTTGGTATTGTGAAAATTCTCACAGTCTCTAGAAAACAGTGTTACAAAAAAATTTTAAAATCTGAGCAAGTTTATTTTATCGTCCACCCCTAATACAGAGCCGTTGAGCTTTGATCTAGCCGCCAACCCTCCATCGATTTTAGCGCTTTTAAATCCTGACTCTGCCGGTGCACCCCAGGTTGCACAGAAAAGAACTTATAAGCGGGCACTCTGATTTCCAGTTCCGACCAGGTTAAGGGGAATTCAGAAATCGCTTATAAGCGCATATTAATTCCAGGCACTCCCCCGTTCCGACCAGGTTAGGGGTAGCATTGAAAAAGCGCTTAAAATTCTTGCCAACCAGGCCATGGGTAATGGGAAAAGCGGTAGAAAAGCGATCATAAGCGCCTATAAGCGCTTTTAAATCCTGACTCTGCCGGTGCACCCCAGGTTGCACAGAAAAGCACTTATAAGCGGGCACTCTGATTTCTAGTTCCGACCAGGTTAAGGGGAATTGAGAAATCGCTTATAAGCGCTTATTAATTCCAGGCACTCCCCCGTTCCGACCAGGTTAGGGGCAGCATTGAAAAAACGCTTATAAGCGCTTTATAATTCTTGCCAACCAGGCCATGGGTGATGGGAAAAGCGGTAGAAAAGCAATCATAAGCGCCTATAAGCGCTTTTAAATCCTGACTCTGCCGGTGCACTCCAGGTTGCTCAGAAAAGCACATGCAAGTGGGCACTCTCCAGTTCCGACCAGGTTGAAGAGAATTGAGAAATCGTTTATAAGCGCCTTTTAATTCCGGGCACTCCCCCGTTGCGACCAGGTTAGTGGCAGCATTGAAAAACGCTTATAAGCGCTTTATAATTCCTGCCAACCAGGCCATGGGCGATAGGAAAAGCGGTAGAAAAGCGATCATAAGCGCCTATAAGCGCTTTTAAATCCTGACTCTGCCGGTGCACCCCAGGTTGCACAGAAAAGAACTTATAAGCGGGCACTCTGATTTCCAGTTCCGACCAGGTTAAGGGGAATTCAGAAATCGCTTATAAGCGCATATTAATTCCAGGCACTCCCCCGTTCCGACCAGGTTAGGGGCAGCATTGAAAAAACGCTTATAAGCGCTTTATAATTCTTGCCAACCAGGCCATGGGTGATGGGAAAAGCGGTAGAAAAGCAATCATAAGCGCCTATAAGCGCTTTTAAATCCTGACTCTGCCGGTGCACCCCAGGTTGCTCAGAAAAGCACATGCAAGTGGGCACTCTCCAGTTCCGACCAGGTTGAAGAGAATTGAGAAATCGTTTATAAGCGCTTTTTAATTCCGGGCACACCCCCGTTCCGAACAGGTTAGGGGCAGCATTGAAAACACGCTTATAAGCGCTTTATAATTATTGCCAACCAGGCCATGGGTGATAGGAAAAGCGGTAAAAAAGCGATCATAAGCGCTTTTTAATCCTGACTCTGCCGGTGCACCCCAGGTTGCTCAGAAAAGCACTTATAAGCGGGCACTCTGATTTCCAGTTCCGACCAGGTTAGGGGCAGCATTTAAAAAGCGCTTATGAGCGCTTTTTTATTCAGGGCACTCCCCCGTTCCGACCAGGTAAGGGGCAGCATTGAAAAACGCTTATAAGCGCTTTATAATTCTTGCCAACCCATGCCATGGGTGATAGGAAAAGTGGTAGAAAAGCGATCATAAGCGCCTATAAGCGCTTTTAAATCCTGACTCTGCCGGTGCACCCCAGGTTGCTCAGAAAAGCACATGAAAGTTCCAACCAGGTTAAGGGGAATTGAGAAATCGCTTATAAGCGCTTTTAAATTCCGGGCACTACCCCGTTCCGACCAGGCTAGGGGCAGCATCGAAAAAGCGCTTATAAGCGCTTTTTAATTCCTGGTCACCTGGCCATGGATGATAGGAAAAGCGGTAAAAGCGGTGAAATAGCGATGAATTAGCCGTTATAAGCGATTTCTAAAAAAACGCTTATAATCGATTATAAGCGGTTATAAGATGTAATATAGCGTTTTCCTGACTCAATTTTAAAAGCGCTTATAAGCGCTTTATTTGCGCTTTACAAACAGCTAAATTGCACCCCATTTATAAGCGCTTATAATCGCTTATAAATGGTTCAAAATAGCGCCTACGAATCGTTTATCCGGCCAACCGCTTATCCACCCGTTTTTGGCGCCAATCCTACTGGAAAACCGCTTTCAAATCGCTCAGCGACGCTAGTAAGCGCTTAAAAGCGCTTATAAGCGCTTTTAATTTAAAAAAAGCGCTTTTTTGAATTATGACACCAATTATAGTCGATTATAAGCGATTTTTTTTGAACCGTTTATAATCGTAAAAAAAGCGATTGTAAACGGTTTTAAAAAAAAAAAGCGCCGAAAAAGCGCTCAATAAGCGATTATCGGCGACGATCATAAAATATCGTTTATGGAAACTTGCCAGATGACGGCTAACAGGGCGGAGATGACGGCAAATACTGCGAACAGATTTCAATATGGTAATGGACATTTTATTTTTATGTTCAATGTTCATGGAGGCATTAATGCATTTTATTAACAACAGGGGCTAAACATCTCCGAGGTTTCGTTTCGAGAAATTGACGTCTTGTACTTGGAAAATTTGGTGCATTATTAAGATTAAGTACAATACTGTTTTCCAGTTTGATGGTAGATTGTTGGTATACTAGCTACATTAATTACACACCCATGTAGGACACTCTCTATCATACAAATTATGAAATCGGGAGATGATTTTAACACGAAACACGAAATCTACTGGTGAATCAAAATAGGAACTGGAAATTTTGTGCTCATTATTTTATGTAACTCAATATACCAGTGAGGTATTGAGCGACGAGTGTTGTCAGGATATCTATTTGGCAGATTTATCTTGGAACTTTTGACTTTTGACTACTACTCAACTACTATTTTGTACTACTACTGACACGGAATCAGTGATGTGATACTCTCAAATCACTGTCTTAGATAAGATGACCATCTCGATACAATGTTCTGTCGGTCAAATGTTTCCGATTTTACCGAGCAGTTTCTGAATCTCGTGCTTATAGTTATAACTACGTTTTGTATTTACAGTCTGTGATCAGGACATAAATAGTTTACATTTAGGCCAGCAGAAAGATACAATTAAATTTGTAATCTGAGCAATGAGTGAGCATTTTCCAGTCCTCAATTTTTGTTTAACATATTTGATTTTATCTAAAATACCATATGTAGTATGTCACTATGCAGCCGTATTTCATTTTTAAATATGCATATGGGATTTCATAACTTATATACTTGGAAGTTGGAAGAGCTATGTTCTTTTCGATGGAAAAGTTGATCCTATTACTGATGATGACGGTCGTAATGGGGGAAGAGAATTGCTTTCAAAAGAAAAGCAACCAACCGACCCACGTGGTAAGCTCATGATAAAGTATAAGTTTGATATATGAAATTACATGATACAGCCATCTAAATCTTTTTTTAAAGTTTAAGATCAACGTTTTGTTCTGGATTCTGGAATTGAAAATACTTTAATAAACACCATTTATGCGGTTACAAATTAATTTACCATCCTATTTTTTGCAGGTTGAAACCCCCACAGTGAACGACATCCTGTATGACAACGTGTGTGCCTGCCTGAGGCATCACGCTGGTACCGGCCATACTGCAGACTTTATGACGTGCCCTGATGCCACCCCATACATCAGAAGCGTTTCGCTAATAAATTGCGACGGGCGCACCATTCCAACTGGGGTCGACTGTATGGGAGCTGGAGTTTCGTTAATGTGATTGGTGATCACTGGATAGTGGATATATAATTATAGTGGAGATATATATATATATAATTCAAAGAAAACTGTGTCTTAGCTCTGATACTTTCATTTTCTTTTGGTTCTAAATAATGGTAATATACCATCGTTGCCTTGTTCGTTATTTATCGATATATCTATCGATGTATTCATTTCTTATTTCATTTAATTATTCTGTCTTGGTTTTTTTTGGTTGAAAAGTCAAATTTTTTTCTGAGGCCCGGAACCCCCTCCCCGTAGGCTTTTTCAAACCTCCTCCCCCAAGTACGAACTTTTGCTGGATCTCAAGAAAAAAGCAGCTGCAGAGCTGGACATTGATGAAAAGTAATATTAGTTAATCATAATGAGAATGGTATAGTATTAGTTATACTTATATTTTGTGGTGATTTTGAGTGGACGAAAACTAAAAGGAACTACTTGCAGGGGTAATAAATAATTTTCAGAAGCTGACTAGATTTCAGGATCTTGGTTTGATTTAGTTGATTTGTTTCATATGTTTAGTCAAGGGCCGGCGTTTCGGATACTTAAATTTGGGTGCAGTTATTTTTCAAATACATATTATATAATTATGTATAGTATAGAACTTTATATTTTTTGTAAATAGGTCATTAGAACTGCCGGCACCGTCCAAACAACAACAATAATTTTAATGTGGACTAACTAAAATAAAAGTAAAACAGAGCACAGAGACAAACTATCAAAATAACGACACTTCTTAATCTTATTGAGTGTATCGAAAAACTCAAAATACTAAAAAATTATAACGCTATAAGTATATACTTTTTATTTTCAATGTCCCTCGATTGGAGTTTGAACGAGGTATTAACTATGTTTATTCTTCGCCAAAAGGTCCGGTTCCGAAGACCTGTTACCTGTATCTCCAGAAAATGTAAAGGTTCAGGCTCCAATTGCTTGACGTAGATTTTCGCATGCGCTTACGACTACGAGAAAGTTGAGGACACGATTATCAAAATTAAAATAAGTTTTTCCAAATACAGTATCATCCGTGCATAAAATTAAATCTAGACTTTAAGATACCCATTATCGACGCGACATAGGGATCTGTTGCCCTCCTCCACAGCTTCACCGTATGAATGAAGCCCCAACCGAGATCTATCATGACCAGCGGCATCGTCTTACTCTTATATGATATCGTACAGGGTGGCCCATAAGTGACTACCCACACGCAACCTCTTAATAACTCACGTAATTCGTCTCCAAATTGCACCAAAATTTCAGAGATTATAGATATGGGTCAAACTTAGATTTCCTGAAAGTTTCGTAAGCCACGCCCAATTACAGTGGGAGTGGCGTGACACTCCCTCTTTTTCACTATTGTCTTCATAAAATGAGAACGCTTTAAGCTAAGAACTCAAAATTTTTTGCACACATTTGGCTTGATAATTGAAAACTTTTCCAAAAGTTTCAAGTTCATTGGTTAAAATATGGCTGAGTTATGACCATTTTAAAATCCATCGGATATGTGATCCGAGCACTCAGTCAGTGATATTTGCACTCAATTAGTGATCTCGTCACCCAATCTGATCAAGAGTAAGGCGTTAGCGTGTATTAATGAGGTTCATTAGGCTTTGATTGGATACCGATGATGACTTTGCTAGAAAGGAAAACACAAATTTTTAGGATAAATCAATAAATGAAATCAACCTCAAAGTAGGGATCCACATTCTGCTTTGACAGGAATGTGTTGGCGAAATCTATCCTTGATTGGAAATCACGGTCCAAAAGTTTGTGTTTCTTTGTGATTCGGTAGGCCCGGTTAGAAAGGTCTTGCTTTAGGATTCGCTGAAGGGTTGTTCTGCTGATGTCTAAGGCAGGAACTCGTTTCCGGGTGCCAATCTTAGGTGTGTCCATCACGTCACCAACAACCATCGTGATGTTTTCTACAGTCCTCGAAGTTCGTCTTCTGCCGACTCTTCGCCGATCGTGTGCAGAAAACGTAAACTTGATCTTGTGATGAATGTCAAAGCAGCTTTTCCGGCAAGGGGGTGGTCGGTTGAATTTCATCTGAAATTGTCGTTTAATCTGAGGGTAGAACACCCCATTTTCTTTCTTCAGGTAGACGAACAATCGTTGTTCTGCAGTAAAGGGAGGATAGTGAACCATTTTCGATGATTCAATGGATGGTTCATTCCTTTTTATTGATTGTAAGGAACCTGTGACTAGCAGGGCTAACAAAGCCCTGAAATGGTGACACCACCATAAATTCGTGTGATAGCGTTTTAGGTGCTGTCAGCTGTATAGGCCGGCCCATAAGCAGGCTGCAACCAATCAAGCGGTGCATGTGAGCCAAACAGGCCATTAACCAAGTGACGAGATCACTGACTGAGTGCTCGGATCACGTATCCGATGAGTTTTGAAATGGTCATAACTTAGCCATATTTTAACCAATGAACTTGAAACTTTGGGAAAAGTTTTCAATTATCAAGCCAAATGTGTGCAAAAAATTTTGAGTTCTTAGCTTAAAGCGTTCTCATTTTATGAAGACAATAGTGAAAAAGAGGGAGTGTCACGCCACGCCCACTGTAATTGGGCGTGGCTTACGAAACTTTCAGGAAATCTAAGTTTGACCCATATCTATAATCTCTGAAATTTTGGTGCAATTTGGAGACGAATTACGTGAGTTATTAAGAGGTTGCGTGTGGGTAGTCACTTATGGGCCACCCTGTATATATTAATACATGATATCAGGCATCAGAGAAAACGGGGACAGGTTTAACTTTACGATATAGTTGATAGTAAACATTTTATTTTTACAATGCATGAATATTTCCTATTTTACAATGGCGTATGCTGTGTGCCATACAGTGTGCAAATTCGGCAAATCGGTTAAACGGGAGTATTTTAATTTAAACATTAAAGTCCTTTCGGAAAGTTGTGAGCGATTTTTCAAATCGAATTGCTATTTTAAGTTGGAAAGTATTTTTGTTGTACAACCAGCTGCAATGAGTTATAAAGAGAGTTAACAAAATCAATCATATTAAAATCTGAGCTAAACGTTCATCTGATTTATAAAATCTTTCTTAGTGGTCCTGATCTAGCGAGCACATTATAGCTTTGAGCTTTAATACAGCAATATATAGCTACTAGTGTAACCCGTGCCTTCGGCCGTGACTTTACTGTCAGAGTTGCAATGTAAAAGTATACAACCGCATTATATATTTCATATTTGATATCACGCATAACGCTGTCTTATGAAAGTATGATCAAATCTCCCTACAGTTGAAACAAAGCGTCCGCAAGAGTGAGCTCTAAGCTTATAGTATTACGTGGGGCTAAACTAATTACGGTACATGTTATCCTCCTCGTTCTCTCTCCCATCCATTTATGTCACAAAATCATCAATTAAACCACTTACCACCGGCCGATTTTTAAGAAATTTGCTTATGGGCTTCGTCAGAGTTTTGTCAGCACTATACCGAAAAAACCAGTCCCGTAACTATTATTGACCATTGTTAATGGTCTGGCCCGGCGCGCGCGCTACTTCGTAGCACTTGCCGTCGGGCGCTACTTCGAAGAAATTTAGACGAGTAGCATCCGTCAATAACTATTACCGTTTTATTTTGTATAACCGTTCGGAAATTACACACAGACACACAGACATTCTGGTGTTATTAAGTTGATTATAGCGTGGCCGGCCTATCCACTACACAGGAGGGCCAAAGTGCAAAGAAACTGCTGATAACTGCTGCAGTTAGCAGCAGTTTCTTTGCACTCCTGTGACTAGATCAAATATAACTGCTGATAGTAGCTACTAGCTATAGTAGAAAGAAAACTACATTTAATTTGAGGACAAATTAAACGTAACGCGCAACATGCGCGCGCGGCTTTCAGTTTCACTGAACACTTTTGCGGGCGCTTTGTTAGAAAATTGTTTGAAAACCTTGCTAGTACAAAATGTTGTACTTCTCAGATATCACTGTTTTTTGGGTATAAATAATTCAAAAAAATTGTTGAGGGATTTAAATTTTAAATGTTCCATATACCATCCGTCCATGGGAGAGCCGAGAGAATGTTGATCAGTCATCAATCCAGAAGCGAGAAGCAAAAACAGATATTGCGTGAACTGTGAACCTACAACTCATCTGACGATTCACATGTCATGGCATGTGAGGGTAAAGCTAGATTGCGAATATAAACAAACTGCATCCATACTTCCATAGTAGTTGTAATCCAAGTAAAATTCACCAATTATCACCAATCACTGCGGTGACTCACCATTTTGTTAAAAACAAAGTCCCACCGACTGATTAGAAATCGAGAGCAGGTGACTGGCATCTCTATTTGGCCTAATCGATAATGTTGGTGTAAAAATTAACAGAGGGAACTGGTACTTCAAATTATGGATATCGAACACTGAACGCAGAAATTCCGATAATTTGTCCTCCCGGCGCTGAGATTGACTCATTGACCTCGAATATTATAGATGTCGCAATCTCTCCATTAGCAAGCACAATTCGCCTCGACTCTTGTCACAGGACACAGTTAGCCCATTAGAAATCACAGTGAGATCCGATGTCATCTCTTTAAATAAAATCCTCTATTCACTATTGTTATTAAATATACTTGCTTTATAATCAAATCCTTGAAAGGAACACACCAGACACATTTACGATTCAAGTTAAATATTTCTTACAGCCATCTGGTTTCACCTTAAATTAAGTTACCATTTTAGGTATCGTAAAAAAGTAATAAAATCCGTAGATTTCAGTAGAATCTACCAAACAATCGACACGGCTAGAAGTGACGACCTAGTTATTTTGACTGCTTCTTTTTTATGCTAGCAGCTTGACTGTTGAACAATAAATACTTATTAAATAACTGATATAATCAACATTCATAATGGTTCATAAACAATCTCCCAATCATTGAATATGATAGCCTATACAGACAAACGATAATGATACATGCCAACTCAGCTTATTTCTGACACTACACTACTACACTACTACACTACTACACTACTACACTACTGCACTACTGCACTACTACACTACTACACTACTACACTACTACACTACTACACTACTACACTACTACACTACTACACTACTTAATCCTGTATCTGGTCAAAACCTGGCACAACTTAGCGAGTTTAGAAGGTTTGAGATGTTATTTGTGCTCCCTAGGGTCTCAACTTCAAAAAAAATTTGGGTG